GGCGCGGCGCATGCGTCGAGCTTTTCGTCGCTAAAGCTATCTCACTTTTGCAGCTGCGACTGTATCGCGTTGGAGAAAGAGACGCGCGCCAGAGCGAGAGAGAGAGAGAGAGAGAGGAGAGAACAGCCGACTCTGTATCAAGCAAGCGCAACAGCTCCTTATTCTCATATCTCGCTTCAATGAGAGCAGGCTGGGTGTGCTGAGAGTACTCTCGGCTACTGCTGCTGCTGCTTCTCCAAAGCTGTGATTTGCTCGTGCACGTATATAGCTCGTACGCACAGTGTAAATGTACGCTCGAAAGCGCGTGCACAGCATGAGACTTTTTTACAATTGGATTTTGTGCGCGTAAAATTAGTGACGACAAAAAAGTTGCGATTCCACAAGCTCTGCATTTTTTTTTTAACGAGTAGAGAAGGAAGAAGGTTATCGGTGCCAAAGAGTTTTTAGTAGCCAAAAAATAAAAAGAAAGTTTTAAAGTTCGCGTAGTTTTGTATCGAAATATACAAGTTGAATCGAATTACCAAGTGCCGGCTAGCGTGCAGTGTGTTTCTTAGACCTCAACGTTACCAAAGATCATCGGAGCTTTTTCTGCGCCAAACTGACGTCGCGTCGAAGGGAAACTTTCGACTGGCAAACTTGCAAACGAGAAAAACGGAAAAACGACGAAGGGACGCGGACAAAGACAGGCAAGATCTAGAATGAAAAAAAGAAGATCTTGTCGAGGAGCGTTTTTGAATTAGGCAAAAGTTGAAACGCTAACGAAAGATTGCCGGTGAGTTGTTGGCTGTTATTAAGCGCATAATACGTACAAATAATAGCGGGAATGAGTCGCGTGCGCGCGCTCGCAGACGCAAAAAAAACAGATATATTATTTCGCTTCGGGTTGAGGTAATTGAATATAAAGACGAGAGAGACGAGAGAGCCGGGCCGCGATTTTTGGCTCGATTCCTTTCGAGTATATGGGGAGTTTCCGGCGCGAGCAGTACAGCGAGACCATTGGACGCCAAAATGCGCGAGGCTCTAGTTGTGCAAAATTTGCGAGCTGCCTTGCTTGCGCGTATGTTGCTCGCTTCCTTCGCTTTCTCTCTCGCTCGGTGCAAAGTTTAAGCGAGAGTCGCTCTCAACAGCAGCAACAGCAGCCAGTCGCAGTCGCAGCATCGGCAGCTCGTCGCGCGACACTTGGCTACGGTCCAGAAAGCTTTCTGGCGCGTGACCTCGTGCTCCCAGAGGAATCATCTCATTCTTTTTTTTCTTTCTCTCTCTCTCTCTTTCAGCTTTATACTTTGCGAGTGTTGGTGCTATCCCATTCGACGATTGTAGGTACCTCTATATAAGCTGCGCACGAGAAGAGGCGAAAAAAAAATTGCCGATGCATGAGATGTTAAGCGAGTGCGCGATGATTTAAACGCGCAACAGTTTCTTCCGTCGATACATATCTAAATGAAAAGCAAATCTTCTTCTCGCTCCTTATCTCTTTTTTTTCTCAACGTTGCTCATTCTCCGAGAGCATGCAAAGTAGCTCCAACCCTCTATGTATACCCAATACAAAAAAAAAAAAAAAATAATAATAATAAATAAATGAAAAAAAAACCTAGAGGTTTGCGCAGCGAGTTTTTTACGTGTTCCGTAGAGCTCTACGTGTGTGGGATGTGCAGCGACACGTGAGATGATGCTTACAGCTTGCACCTCTAGGTAGTAGTCGGGAGCTTGCGCGCGTACACCCATATACAACAAATACGTAAGTGTATTAGTTACGTGTAGGCATTAAGCTCTCGCCGCGTCCGTACGTACATCTACATAGGCGTATATGGTTATAGGAGTGCTGCCTCCGATATACATACGCTGTGTGTCCGCTCGATCGTACATTGAACCATTTTACCGTTTTGCCTTTGATGTTGAGCCTAGCCTTTCATATATACATGTATGTATGTGCATGTGTTTGTGTGTGCGTATGCATGTATGTAAGTGTGTGTGTGTGTGTGTGTGTGCGCTCGGCGCAGACCCGAAGAAAGCAAAGCCCAGCGCCAAATGCAACAGGGTGCTCGATGCGCGCGATTGCCTCGCTTATACCCCTCTGCATACGTATCGGCCGTATAAACGAGGAAAGACGGACCAAAACGAGTGAAAAAAAATCGTGCAGCGGCTGGGGGTCCCATGTGCATCGCTCGTTAGTCTAATCTATAAAAACCGACGAATTTCTATCTGCAGCGCTCCGCTGCACAGGCCATTTACCGAGTCAGCTTATATTCCACGTACTCCATTGCGCCGGACTCTATTCACGTGTGAATTAATTTAAAGCCTCGCGGCTGCGTATATGTAGAGCACATTTAACTGCAACAACGAGCTTGGGCTCGTATAAAAGTAGTTTTTTTTTCTTCATATACAATTCGCAACGGTACAACGTGCATAATTATACTTGGTAACTTTTAGACGTGCTTATAGCACGTAAGGACGTTATACACGCGCATCACAATCCGTATACACATGCAGAGACAGATGAACTGTGTAAAGATGCGAGGCAATACATCAATACATTGAAGTACACGTGGCTCGCTCGCAAACGCGCACAGCACCTTTGCAATTGTTGAATTGCTTTTTTTCTCTCTATCTCTATCTCTATCTTGCTCACTGGTCGCTGACCTCACCCTGCATTATTATCTGCACATACCAGCCGTTTACGTATGTTTAAAGTTTTATGATTGCGATGTATGTGTATATCCATCCACTGCATCAACCCTCGTGTAACTATTTTACTTTTACTTCTATTTTCTTCTTTTTTTCCACTGATACGCACGGATATACACGAGTTAAATTGATGCGTAGATTAATTCATAAACGTACTGGTGATGTGTTTCTTCCGGATGTATAGTCGTGATTTTTACGCGAAGCGAGTGCTTAGAAATTTAATGGAAAAATTAAGTGTTTCCGTTCGAGAGAATCTTATTTTTCTTACTGTTTTTAAAAAATCAAAGTGAAAATTTATACTCGATCTGTATCTCTCGAGCAGCTGGGAGAACGCAGTCCCGTGAGCGATTGTACTACTGCACTGTATCGCGCACACGTGCGTGCCCTTCGCATTTGCAAATGAACATCCTGGAATACATGCATGTATCAGTGCGCCTGCAGTGCGTGTGGATTTATACAATTGTGCACGCGCGTGCATACTTGATTTCTTATGAATTTCATTGGATTTTCTCATATTCGCAATCCGTAGCTCTCGCGTACTTGTGATTTTTGCTTCGTATCGAAATGCAAATTTAAATTACTTTCATCAATATTACGGCAATTTTCGGTAAAACAAACTGCATTAATGAATAATCGTTTAAAAATGTTGTCTAATGAAAAACTTAGCTTTGAATTATATACGATTATTTTCACTTTGTCGCTTGCAGATTTACAGATCAAGGTTCTAGCCATCTAGCGGAAGAGGCCGGCTTAATCATAATTGAATTTATACTTTTTTTGAGCAATAACACAATCACACAATTTCCTTTTAAATTCTTACATTTGAGTATAGAATAAAATATTTTTTGTTCATCAGCATTTTAACAATTTGTGTTACAGAATAAACCAGTACTGATACATTCATTTTCAACTAAGATTTTATGTAAAAGAATCTCAAATAAAATTGAATATAGGTTACTTCAATTTAACAATCTGAATCTGCATTAAATTTAAGGCTTTAATGAACGTTATGCAACTTATTTCGCTGCATAAAATTTCTAGAGGTACTTTTGAATTCGTAAATAGTATGTAACATTGAAATCCAATTATTATTGACCAACTATGTTTTATTGCGTGTTTTTGCGGCATGGCAAAATCTGACCTGTATTCTTGACGTAAGCGATTTTAGAGATGTAATCGATATTCACTACCAAAATCACGATCGCGAAATCTTTTTTCCGTTTTTCAAAGTGTATTTCCAATAAATGATATTTAAATTAGATTTCCACTTGACACTTCTCAAAGCTATAATTTTGGCTGTCAAAAATGTCATACTATTTTGAATACACTCTAACTAATTCATTAGTATTGTTTATAAACAAAGAAATTAAAATACGAATTTGCCTACGAAACGCAATGATATTTTATTTATTAATTTAAATAATAAATATAAATAAATAATGCATAAACGAAGCTAACGTTGAAATCATCATATAATATAAGAATTTTTCTCATAAAAAGTTTTTTTTAAAGAAGGATAATGCATTAGTATGCACCCCAGAATAAAATCGCATAACCTTGACTTCTAGAAAAACATATAGGTAAATATATAAAAGTTCGTTAAACTTTTTTCCTCTTTTTCAATAAAATCGGTAGAGTCCAACATCCAATAAGTTTATTCATCTTATTTTTGTTTGATTGATTTCCATCAGAACATAAGTCTACATCAATTTTAATCATAATAATCCATGAAATATGATTTTCAAACTACGCTAAAAATTTTGATAGTTACATCAGTTTCTTGCGCGTGATGCAGAAGCATAACACTACATCAAACCATGCCATGTACCCAAACAGTGATCATAAATTCATGATTATTATATAAATAGTAAATACTTACAAAAAAAGGCTCGTACATAACATCAAGTCGTTTAAATTTTAATGGGGCAGTTATCTGTTGAACGCTTGACACACTTAATATGATAGTAGTCAAGCTGAAGAAAATGTTGAACAAACGAATGAGAATTGTCGTATATTATTACTGTTAATTTTTAAATTTTTGTAATGGTGGACAATTGTAGTGGTATATTCTTTCCTTATGCGTACTCTACGATGTACATAATTAATGCATTATGTGCCTTACTTTGTACATCACTTGTATGTATATTACTATTCATACGATAGGGGAAGTACACTTCATTAAAAATCCAGTTTAGCGATCATTCAAATTATTCGTATGCTACTGATCTAAACTTAATATAATAGATGGAAAATAAAAACAATAAAATGACGAAAATTGACGTGAGATAACTAATTAGTTGTACTCTGTGTTACAGATAAAAGCAACATTCCATTGGTACATCAGTGTTGATCGATTGTGCGACGATTGCGCGACGATCGATGATCAGTGTTGAATCGACTCTTTAACGACACCATAAGTTGAAAAGCAAAAAAAATAGAAGTGGAGCCAAAGGTGAAACGATTGGGCAGTTCGAGCACGTTGTCTAGCAACGATTCACCATAGATCCGCCAAACTCGAGGAAAGCACAAGTGGCTCCTAAAGAAGCAAGAATGGGTCGTAAAAAGATTCAGATTTCGCGCATCACCGACGAGCGCAACCGCCAGGTGACGTTCAACAAGAGGAAATTCGGCGTCATGAAGAAGGCGTACGAGCTGTCGGTGCTGTGCGACTGCGAGATCGCCCTCATCATTTTCAGCTCGAGCAACAAGCTCTACCAGTACGCGAGCACGGACATGGACAAGGTCCTGCTCAAGTACACAGAATACAACGAGCCCCACGAGTCGCTCACCAATAAAAACATCATTGAGGTGAGCGCAGCCTAAGTTCTTTTCACATTCTCATTTAAAATATGCATTTTTTTCCTTTTTTTCCCTTGTCTTATTGACGTTTGGATTATTTTTTATTTACTTTTTTTATATATATTTATTCGGACGGGCTTTTGCACATTGCGCGTGTTTGTGTGTATGCATGATGATTTTCTGCATGGCGTGTGAATTGTCGTCGTCGGCTCGTCCGACTTTTGCCGCTGCTTTTTCGAGGCGCGATCGCTTGGCGGCGGTCGTCGCGTCGATCAAGGAGCGCAAAGGTTGACAACGACCGGCGACCTGTGTTTGAATGAGCGAGTAAAAGGCATATGTGTGCCCTCGGGCGGTCTGATCATATGAACCTGTCTGCTACAATTTCCAGGCACTCAACAAGAAAGAGCATAAAGGCGCAATGTCCCCCGAGAGTCCGGAGCAGGACGTGCCGGAATTCAACCTGACACCGAGAACAGAGGCTAAATATGCTAAAATCGACGAGGATTTTCAAACTCTTATACGTGCCAATAATCAGAATGGCTCGAGGGTACGTTGATATCCTTTTGCTCTTTCGTTCTTTTGTTTTCTCTGAATCTTTGACAATTATACTCACGGGTAAAATTCTGTTCAGGTCATGGGACAAACAAGTTATACGCTACCGGTTACGGTGCCTGTGAACACCTACGGTGAGCACATGCTTGGTTCTAGTCCGCAAATGGCCCACACTAGCATCTCACCAAGGCCCTCGTCGTCAGAAACCGATTCAGGTAAAAATCCTTTGACACCTTTGCCCATTTGCGATAACGATTATTATATCCCGGAACAATTACTCTACGATATTAGAAAAGAAGGTACATATTCAAAATCATTTTTTTTTAAATTTGTTATGCTTTTATTAACACACAACTGCACTGAGTTTTTATTCATTCATCGCGCAATCCAAGCAGACATTCTGTTTGGATTCGCAATTATGAGTTAATAATACCCAAAAAGTGCGTATATATTATCATGTATAACCAAGTTTATTTCAAACAAAGTGCCTTGCTTGTGGGCTGTTTTATTGTTTTTGAAGTGCCTTGAACATAAATTGATGCGAAAATTGCTAAATACATCGACATAATTTTGCTCACGTCGTGCATTTTTATGTTTCAGTTTATCCCGGCGGAAACATGCTGGACATGACCAATGGTTATCCAGCCTCGGCCTCGCCATTGGGAGGCTCTCCCTCGCCGGGTCCGTCGCCCGTGGCGTTAGGCGTACCCGCGGCCCAGAAAGGCACGAGGCACTCGCCCCAGCCGCCTCTGCCGCCAGCCAATCATCCGCATCGAGGAAATTTGCGAGTCGTCATTCCAGCACCGATCAGCCAACAGATGACCACGGACGATCCCTCTTACGATGTGAGTGCACCCGCTTCGAGCCGACTGGCTACGACTTTTTTCTCATTTTTTCAATCGATCAACACCAACGGAAAAATCTAAAAGATGCTCAAATATTTTCAGACCGGACACAATCAGACGCTAAACACGCCGGTAGTGGCGTTGCAAACGCCATCTGTACCCACAAATTATACCGGTTACGGCCAGACTGAATATACTAGTGAGTTGAGTAACTTGTCTTGGTCTCATCATAGGTACGTTGACGACCTGTCCATGTATTCGACCGCGCAATTAACTGGCTTAGGGTAATTGTCAACTTTTCTTTATTCAAATTGAATTGCACGCAACATTTGAGAACGACGTTGGTAATTGTTTGCGAATTTTTGTCAATAGCCAAAGTCTTCCACATTTGGGAGTGTCGAGTAACACGCCGCCACCGTCCACTTCGCCAGGTGTTAAAATCAAGAGTGAACCCATTAGCCCACCACGCGATGCTTCGAATAACTCAGCGGCCCCAATGCATCTACCAGGTAGGCACTGGTGCTACACTTATTATTTCTTTTTTTTTTTCTTTTTTCAATTTTCCTTCAGCTAACGTATTTTCTCTTCGACCTGTTATAGGACATTCAAATTTAGGTATACCGTCATCAACGCAGCAGCCACAAGTGTCGCCGTCGTCCGTGCATTCTGTTCATTCGACTCAGCAACAAATGCCCCCTCAACAGCAGCAACAGCAACAAACGTTAAATCTCGTATCGTCTCAGGCCAATGCTGCCGGTAGTAGGCCATCGAGTAATCCCCCTCCGAGCAGTATGCCGCCCACGCCGACGAATTTGCCCTCGCCGTCCTCGGTCGTGTCGTCCCATCAAGCAGCGAGCGTAGTGGTTAGCGACATGCGCGCGGCCGTTGCAGTCCCAACTGAATACGAAGCCAATGGTCCGACCATCAAAAGACAGAGGATCACGGAAGGATGGGCGACATAATATTCCGGTGCGTACCGGTCATCTGTTGCACTGTTCCAGTACTTCACCGAATCCGAGAGAGAAAATAATCAAAACATCGTATTTTTCCAGGTGCAGGAAACGACTTTCGGTGCATGAAAAAGGAAGATCTGTCGCGGTCAATGTCACCAGCCTCGCCGGTAGAAGAGCGACTAATCGAGTCATTATATCTATACAACAAGCAGATATGAATGTAAAACAGTCAGTGTGTGCGATCGCAAGTGTAACACGACTACAGGTCGCAGGAGACTAAGGATAGAAAAAGTGTGTATCTCTTTGCTTGTTTTGTGCATTGAACGAACAAACAACGACGGGCAGCAAAGCATCTATCCACGCTTTATTAGAGACGGACAGTTTATAATTGCTCACCTCTGTTTACTTTTCTTCAAATTGATGTTTACTCAATCGTAAAAAAAAAATTCTGCGCGCAAAAATGACATCGTGAGCGCGCTCTTCGTACGTCGGAAATTTGTAGGAGTGAAAGAAAAATGTTGAGTAGGTCAAAAATGACACTAATGACATGAGTGCCATAAAGTTAAACCTTAAAAAGATATTCTTATTATCTAAATTTTAAATCTAAGTTATGCAGATAAAAATATTATCCATATATAAATACATAGATATATATAAGATATATATTTAAATTATTTATAAATATGTAATTTGAATAATGTATACGTACACACGATGAGAGCCGTTGAAGATATATGATATATATTTTATGTAAATACGTGAAAAAGTTAATACTTAGAAAGTGTTATTAGTGCGTTAAAAAATTATTATCAAGACAAAAAAATTGTCGTCATGTGAAACGATAGAACCAAAAGAATGTTTCTAACGACGCAAATCGGTCCGAGTGCAATTATTGAATTATGAAATATGAAGATGGTTTTCACGCTTCTTGTTATATAGAATACAACATTCAAACGTTTATGACTTTAGGAAAATTTTATTATGAATAAGTTGATATGACACAAAAATATGTAATGATAAGTTTTGCTCTTGATTTTTCTGTATGTATGTGCATTTGTGCTTTTGCGTATGTGAAATTTATATACTTGAATGTTGTATAGGTACAATTACAACTTGCAGATGTTGTATTAATTACTGAAAGTGACATAATCTTCTATCATTGTTGTCTGTATAACTGCACAATGTGACTCTGTTTTCATTGGTGCTCTCATTTTTTATCCCATTGTTCGATGTCTTCAAACGTTCTTAGTTTTGGATAACTAACTTGTACGAATACGTGTACGTATGAAATTCATAAAATTGAATTTTGATGTTTTCATCAATCAACAAATTATTATTAATGCTCGTGTTTTGCCATTTACTATGCGAAGTTGATGATTTTTTTACGTACTCTAGTCATTTAAGGACATGGTTTTAACTTACTAATTAATATTCTTTTCTACTAAAAAAATAAATCATTGCAGATGCGTGATTTTATATTTTCAATCTGTAAATATCTCTTTACATTTATGTTGGTTATTTACTATCAGTTTTAGGGAATGAATGTGTATTTGAAACATTATTAATTTAATTTTCAAATTAGTTTACGTTATTTTTAAAAATTGTGCTCAATTTTAAAATTTTTATCAATATGAATATCAAATTCAGAGCTTTATCAAAAATTAGATATTATTTTACTTAATTTGAATTGAGTACTAATTTTACTAACTCCGTTGCTTCGTTTTGAGAAACGACGGAGGATCTCATAATTATATGAATGATGTTACATCATATTTTAGATTTGTAATGCTCTGATTCTATGATAATTTTATTTTGCTTGTAAGCTAATCATAAATGCCTGCTTATGAAATGAGACAAGTCGGCTACGTACTCAAATATATGAAATATTTATAGAATGAGTTGCGTTACTCATAGACCATATCCTTGCGAGCTACTTTGAATGTGAAATGACAAAAGACGAAAAATTTTAGTTTTATTAATTTATAAGTAACATAGGATAATAATATTTCTTTACACTGTTGTAAAAAAAGACCATGAAAAACGCGATACATGAATTATATTTTGGCAAAGGTCACCATTCATATTTTTATTGAAATGTTTCAAAGTCGTTAATGGGAAAATTTTGTGCTCGGAGAATAAAAAATATTTGTGAAAATTTTGTAACTTGATTGTTGTTTAAACATATAATGTATATTTAAATTCTTAAAGGTCGATAATATTTTAATAATGAAAGTTTATTTCGCAAGCTGTGTGCTATTTAATAGAAAATTGAAGCTCGCGAAAAATTAACGTTCAGTAATTTTTCAATTTCACATGAATTGGCTTGACCATTAAAAAAAAAAATATTTATAAAATATTTCTGAAACCATACAGCGTGGAAATAGTAAATTATAAAAAATGTTATGAAACGCATACAATTTTGTACGTACTAGGTATTAGTTTAAAAATTACAAAATTATTCAACTATTCTGATGAAACTGTATCAAAATATGTGGTAGCACCTTGCCAACAAAGTATAAAAAAAATTCTTAGTCTCAATTTCACATTCATAGGCTCGATTGAGTTTTTTGCTCGTTATCTAGCTTGATAAATATCAACATACATTCATTTTTACGTAAAAACCAATTGATAGCAAAGACATTGTTGAGAGATAGTGCAACGAAACCTAATAGATAAATTCAGAAAAATATTGGATGTATGTATGTGCAAAGATAAATGAAGGTAAAAAGTTGAAATTTTATAAAAAGAAATAAAAATATTGTACGAAATTTTACACATAACGACTCTCCCTGAAAGCCTTGAATTCTATGCCTTATAAATAATCCTCGACGTTGTTTATTGTTGTAATATCTAGTAACGACGATGAATATATTTCGTAAGACATATCCTCTTAAGTGCTGTTCTCGTATACACATTTGAAAAGGAAGAAAAAACAAAATTTGAACAAAATTTGAGCTCAATATTTATGGATTGAATCATTTGTAAAAATTTACCTTCAAAGCTTGAAATGAAATTTGTGGAGCCCACTTTTAAGCGAATAGTTGAAATTAGTAGAATTTAACTAAAAATACGAATAAATTGTGTAAAGTCGTATGCGTATATTATCATATATTTATACTACAAATGAATGGAGTATCACAAGTATATTAAATGAATAGTGCCTGGCACAATTTGTGGCCCTCTTCTCATTTATCGCAGTATGTGAGTATGCATCAATGTGCCTGAAAACGAGTAAATGGGATTTATGTATTGTAAATTATGCGCCAAGAGTCAAGTGCCGGTTGTACCGATTATAAAAGATTCGTCAATGTAATTGTATCATATGCTATTCTATTGTTTCTCGTTCTTTTGTACGAATTTCTTGTCTAATACTGATTATTCCTGCCAGTTGCAAAATTAAATCAGGAATAAAATCTTTTAAAAAAACAATACATTTGTTCTCGTTAATTCATGGAACTACTATAATAGGAATATTATATAGAATTTGTTAAGTTTCTTTAAAACTCTCAAAATTTGGCATCTGCTACTTTATTTAATCAAATTGTTAATATGTTTTTGAAAAAGAAAAATACGAGAAAACAAGAAAAAAATTATATTTGCCGTTAGTCATTGTAAAAATTATGTGCGTGGATGTTTATAAGGATGTATATGTAAATTAACACGACATTTTATGTGAAAATTTTACGTTGTAACTGCAAAGTTTTTCAATTATAAGATGATAATCACAAAGTGCAATCTCTTAGCCAACAATTCACTTTATAAGAATCATAATATATAAATTTATAAAAAAAAAGTTATACCGAGCAAAAAAATTTTTTTATAAAATAAAAATTTGGTACGCTGAAAGTAGTAACATGTGAACATGAAATTTTCAATGAACATCTTAACAGGACCGTATCGACAATTATTTCCTATCATTTAGCAGTGTCATACCAAAATTTTTTCATTAACTTCGCTCGCGAAGATCTCCCTAAAATAAACTTGAATTTATAATGAAAAGTACACATAAATATATATATTGTTGGGGGACCGATAAATTACAATGAGTAATCAACAACGTATATATGATATTTATATTTTGTAAAATACACATCCGGAGTCCTTTAAATTTTTGTACAAAGACAAAAATGGCACAGAAAATATTTATTGTAGAAACTTATTTAAATGAAAAAAACTATGTCCATAAAAGTGTGATTAATTAGATTAAATTATACCACAATGTGCATGAGGGAAAAAAACCTATTGTCTGTAAGATTGTCCAAGTCAGATATAATATTTGTATGATAAATAACATATTATGGACCACTCGATGTTATCATAAGTTCAAAGCACTGCATCTATTAAATTTACCTCCTTATGCAAATGTATATTTCTACTTTATTGCACAAAAGAAGCTGAAAAATGATTGGCGGAACTTCGCATGAAAAAGAATATTTTTCTTTACATAAATTTCAATATATAATCTAGAGATAAAAAGATATTTTTTCTTCCTTTTATCGAGTAATGAAAATTAACATAGTTAAGCATAAAATTATTTTTCATTGAATGTTGCGAACGAATATACCTTACGGTAATTTTTAATACAAACAAAAGTGTCAAGTTTATACCCGGTGCAAATGTTCGAAAGTACAAGATCTGTTGATGAATTTTTGAGAAATAGAAAAATCAAGCTACAGAAAAATACGCATATGATACACCTGTGATCAATAGAAATAATAATAATAATAAAAAGAGTACACTATTCAAGTGGGAGAAAAATTGATATTTGAATCGCGAAGTATAATTATTCTATAAACATATGATGATACTAAATTTCACGTTTTCATCGGCGAATTATGTACCAATATAATTCATATATAAAGATCGGATAAGGAGAGTGGATTTTCTTTATATTTTCATCGAACGTGTAAAATAGATAAAGACAAAAAATTCAACTTTTATATAGTGCCATTATACCCTTAGTGTAAATAATAGTAAGCGGGTAAAACAGTACACATATGTGCAGTTTATTCGGTCGAGAAAGCGAAAATGTATTACACAGATTTGTTCGGTGTACTGTCGCTTGTACTGCACTCGCATTGATACGAGGTGCAGGCTACGAATTAAATTCAACGGAGATCCGGAGCAACGTTTAAGTGTAAGAGCATTACAGACGTCTCATCCGCAATGAACGTGCCGAGATTGTATAGAGAACATGATTTTAGATACACACGTGTACGTTGCAGACGTATGAATATTTATGTAATCATAAAAATTATATATTTGCATATAATTTTATGTGTTGATAGTAATTACGATTAGCATGTAACGATGTCTATTACACAAAAATAATATATTATACAATAAAAGTAAAAAGCATCCATGGAAATATGACTCGATAAACTATCTGCCCCCAATTACAATGTGTGCAATTGGATCGATCGTACTTATGCATCGCGTGGATAACAAATTTTTCATTAAAATATTTTCCAAGGTTTCGTTTAGTCCTCTTCGTTCTCATACTTTGTGAACTGCTCTTTAAGGGATACGTCGAAATGACGCACAATTACTTCGAAACGCTTTGACTGATAGAAAGCCACTTTTAATACATCGTATTACTGAATTTTGGTATTCAAAACTGCAAGCGACAGACACAGTCTACGTTTATCGAGCATTAATGCAGTTTCGGAATAAACGGAGAAAGCGGGAGACACGTGGTATTGATGATTGCATAAATTTTCACGTTGTCTATGATCGCAGAGATTACAAGTTAAAAAGACGTGAATGCCTTTCGTGTGTCTGCGAATATCTATAATGTAAATTATTAATCATTTTTACATTGTAAAATTCGTCAAATATTAATGGTGCTCCATGTGCTTTTGCTCGCTCAATCGGAATGAACAAAAAATTATAGTTGATAGCTATAAGTAATCGGTTCATCGTTACGATTCTTTTACGTGAAACATATTATTAATTTTAATTATTATCACGTTTTCATTTTAGAGCAGTGCTATGTGTTATTTAATATTGTAAAGTTGCATCTTTGTATCGTTGTGTCATTTACTACTATAAATTTAGAAATATCAAACGTGTCTTTGATTCAAATTGCGTAACAATTGTCACTTCAATTATAATTTTAGTAATAATGATAATAATAACAATAATGATTATCATTATTCGCCATTTATATTATTATTATTATTATTATTTGTCATCCATATTTATGATGCTTCAATTTGCTCGTGAAAAATTTCTGTAAATGAATGAGAGTCATTATCATCATTAAGATCCTAGAATAAATGTGGAATAAGGCGAATATTATTTATTTTTATGTTCGATGGAAAGTTTTCAAAAATATATACGGAAATATGTTGTGATGAAGCGAAAATAATTGTTACTTTAAAGGATTGAAAGCAAGAGAAGCTGAAGATATTATGTAAACATTCATATAGTTATGTATTGTGTGTTGGAATAAAAGTAATGTAAAGAAATCACTCACACGCGTACACTCACTCGAATAGTGTAAGTACATTAAACTGAAAAATAAACGACACGAATATGGTTTTAACGTGTACTCACATGCATGCGACCATCATTGTGGCTAATATTTTAATGTATTAGAATAATGATAAACGATTATTATTGTATACACATATATAAATCATGTTGCCCATAGAATACATTTTACTTGGTTTTTATATACAGCTGCGTTATTTCATTTAAAAGTTTTCCTTTCCCTTCTCTATTTTTTATAGGCAAATTTTTAAAATTTTAAACAATACGGCTCTGATTCGATATACGTCAATTATACATATACGCATATATAAGAGCGTTCCTTATTTAATAAGTTGTAACGAGTCTCGCTTCTAAGCTATTTTTGTTTGTGTGAACCTGAAAATCAAAAGTCTCGCAGATAAGACCCCTTTGTTATGGCCGTGCTCTAGTCAAGGACATCATATTTGAAATTCATAACTGTCCTCGAAAACAATACAATAATTTTCTCAAGAGAGAGCTGAATTCCCAATGGAAATTTTACGTTTGAAAAATGTAGCCCGCGAGCGCTATAATCTAATTAATACCCATCAGCCAAGGTTGACAAAAAGATATTATAGTTAATAAACACGACTCAGACTCTATTCGACAGATGTTTCTCTCACAGGAAATATTGTCATACGCTCGCAAACGCGGATAATGTCGTAACCTTCACTACGTGCAAAACAATTTAAGAAAAACAATATTTTCATTTTATAAGTATTGAGCTCAACTAAAAGCTCGCGAATCATAATTTGTTGATTATAATTTTTAGTTCTTGAATTCTTGTGAATCAAACAACTTTTCATTCGTCAAGCCAGCCGGATCTTTGAGGCTGACCCGTACACATGAATAATCAAAACAAAATCCAGCTACGGTATTGTAAAAATTATTATCGTTTAGAAATTTTGTTAAATAAAGATTATTAAGCTTGATAATCGAGTTTTATGCGATTAAAGTTCGTTTTACGTTTTAAATATTTGGTAGCCTTGAAAAAGGCTGATTGTTTCGATGTTCAAGTCCTGATTAGAGTGTTTACTTCGAGCTGGTGTATTTAGTCACGGCCTTGGTGCCTTCGGACACGGCGTGCTTGGCGAGCTCACCAGGCAACAGCAGCCTGACGGCGGTTTGGATCTCCCGGGAGGTGATGGTCGATCTCTTGTTGTAGTGAGCCAAGCGCGAGGCCTCGGCGGCGATACGCTCGAAGATGTCGTTGACAAAGCTGTTCATGATGCTCATGGCCTTGGAGGATACTCCGGTGTCGGGGTGGACCTGCTTCAGGACCTTGTAGATGTAGATGGCGTAGCTCTCCTTCCTCCTCTTCTTCTTGCCTTTCTTGTCGCTCTTGGAGATATTCTTCTGAGCCTTGCCAGACTTCTTCACAGCTTTGCCGCTTGTTTTCGGAGCCATTGCGGAGTATCTATACGGATTCGGTGAAAACGATAGAGTGTGCCGGGCGGGAGTAGGACGTCTCTATTTATATGAGAAGCTGTGCGGCGCGCGACGCAGCAGCTAGTCCCCCTCTACCACCACCCGGCAGTTCCCCCATGTTTTTCGTTCGCGCGCGATCTGCTTTCGAGTATAAATAGCTCGACGCAGCCCCCCGTCCTTCAAACCGCATTCGTGCCTTCATACTGTCACACGTACGTAATCTACGCAACTTCTCTCGACAATGTCTGGACGTGGTAAAGGTGGTGCCGGCAAAGCCAAGGGCAAGTCAAAGACCCGATCGACTCGCGCAGGACTCCAATTCCCAGTGGGCAGAATTCATCGTCTGCTTCGCAAAGGTAACTACGCCGAACGTGTAGGAGCCGGAGCCCCAGTCTACTTGGCCGCTGTAATGGAATACTTGGCCGCTGAGGTGCTCGAGTTGGCTGGAAATGCCGCTCGCGACAACAAGAAGACGAGAATCATCCCCAGACATCTCCAATTGGCCATTCGCAATGACGAAGAATTGAACAAACTCCTGTCCGGAGTTACCATTGCCCAAGGTGGTGTCCTGCCCAACATCCAGGCTGTACTTCTGCCCAAGAAGACCGAGAAGAAAGCTTAAATTTCTTTACCAAACGCTTGCGACCTTCAAACAAACGGCCCTTCTCAGGGCCAACAAAACATTTAAACATAGGAATATCTATTTAATGAACAATACTAAATTAATACTTAACTAATATAACTTCTCATACGCTTGTACACTAAATTTAATTATCATATACACGTACAATATTGAACTGTTAATAAGATAAATGTACGAGTAGCAGCAGTTCAATGGAAAGTTCATATTTCACAGTTTATGTAAGATAAAGGCGCGATATCTTTTAACTGGGTAGAAGTGTAAATATCGTAGTCCATTATATATTACGGAGCATGTGCAAACATTGAAACATGACGTATACGGTATGGTGACGGTACGTTTCGTGTCGACTTGAAATTTTTAATTGAAAATGCTTTCCTTGTCTTGGATATATTTATCCCTCAGTTTTCTGACGAACATGTGATACCTGCCGCGGTCAGATATTAGCAGAATAAACATCAACACTCAATGTATAAGTAAGTATTTTAAAAAGCCGATTAAATGAAAATCCTAAAATTTAAACTACACTGTTAAATTGAATAGAAACTTATTTTTATAGTTTACAAATTTCAAAATTGTATACCTCAGAATATATCTAAGCATTATGAATTGGAATGATTATCATATTAGTGTACAATCAATCCAGTTATTGCAGCTTGACTTTCGTAATTTTATAGTATTTTCTATCATAATAGATACAAAAATCAAAAATATTAAGCGAACGTACAATTTCATAATTACTATGTTGAAAAATTATAAATTTTTTCGTCAATTCAGTTCTCTGCTGTAGGCCCAGATGGTACAAATATTAAAAAAACGATCATGCTATTTAAATAAGTCTAAAAATTTTCTTCGACCTTTTTTTTCAAATTTTAGTTCTGCCAAGATAGCATAGTTGTTCATAAGCCTAAGTCACTTAAATCATACAACGTTAACGATTTATAGTTACTATAACTTGACAATATTTCGACTGATTGAGAGATACATAATATGATCTTCGGCAGGCAATATGCTGTGACAAAGTTGTTTAGAAAAGAGTTGAGAAGTTTCTGTAAATTAGATTGAAAATATTAATTTCTAGTCCGATTTTTCATGTCCTTGATACGTTTAAAAAGTTTTCAATCTGGAATTTTATGACTCGTTGAAGTAAATTTTAAAGTAAGCCGTAGGATTCCGTATTACATGGGCTGAATGTATAATTACTTAGCAATAATTTCGGATGCAATAAACGAACTCAAGGCAATCTTAGTTCACTGACAATATTAGTACTTGGTAATTATAAATATTATCAAGTATTGACGAATGAAAAGATTTTCTCAATGGAAAGATAGAAGTCAATTTAAATATCCATGAGTTTAATATAAAATATGCGTGAATTAAATTTCTAAACCGACTTGATATTTTCGTGTAAGATGTGCGGGTTTATAATTTGTTGTCTTCTTATAATTATTATTTAAAAATCAAATGGAATGTGCAAATGATGTAATATCCTCGTTTTAGAAATATGGTAGTCCTGAAAAGGACTGTTGTTTTGGTAAATCTGGATGGATTATAATAACTTAAGCACGTTCTCCACGAATACGACGAGCCAATTGAATGTCCTTGGGCATGATGGTGACACGTTTGGCGTGGATAGCGCACAAGTTCGTATCTTCGAAGAGCCCGACGAGGTAGGCCTCGCTAGCTTCTTGCAGAGCCATCACAGCAGAGCTCTGGAAACGCAAGTCAGTCTTGAAATCTTGGGCGATTTCACGAACGAGACGTTGGAAGGGCAGCTTGCGGATCAGCAGTTCGGTGCTCTTCTGGTAACGTCTGATTTCACGGAGAGCAACAGTTCCAGGCCTGTAGCGATGTGGCTTCTTGACTCCTCCGGTTGCTGGCGCGCTCTTGCGGGCGGCCTTGGTTGCCAGTTGCTTGCGTGGGGCCTTGCCTCCGGTAGACTTGCGAGCGGTCTGCTTGGTACGGGCCATTGCGACTCTGTCAGATTCGTGGATACGATTTGAAGCGGCGAGCAAAGAGACTAATGTGGCCGCTCATATGTCGGACACTTATTTTATACCATCTCTACTTAGCATGGATCGGAGTCGTTGCAACGAAATTATTGGCCCGAATTTCGTAGAGGGGAGCCGCGAGGTACCGAAGGGGGGACCGCACCGCTTGCCGGCCTATAAATACTGACACTTTGCCTCACTCGGCATCAGTTCGTTGCTATCCGTCGAACAGTACACCCAATTAATTACTCATCATGACTGGACGTGGAAAGGGAGGAAAAGGTTTGGGAAAAGGAGGAGCTAAGCGCCACAGGAAGGTTCTGCGTGATAACATCCAAGGAATCACCAAGCCTGCCATCCGCCGTCTGGCTCGTCGTGGCGGAGTCAAGCGAATCTCCGGCTTGATCTACGAAGAGACTCGTGGTGTCCTCAAGGTCTTCCTCGAAAACGTCATCCGTGACGCTGTCACTTACACCGAGCACGCCAAGCGCAAGACAGTCACAGCCATGGACGTAGTATACGCTCTGAAGCGACAAGGCCGCACTCTTTACGGATTCGGCGGTTAAACTCCCAGCCTTGATAGCTTTGAACAAAAAATCGGCCTTTTTCAAGGCCACCAAAAATTTAAAACGTAGTTCAAACACACATAACATAATACTTGATATGTTCAGCCTCTCTCAAGGCCAACGTATACTTTAAACACATCAAACCAACACTTGAAAATATAATAATTATCGACCAGTTTCTAGCCCTTGATATTGTTAGAATCAAACAATTCACCATTTATATAGGTAGCGTAATTCAATAAATTAAAGAAGTTCGAAAATGAAAAAAAAATTATTTTCCAGCTGAACACATCGTATACCAAAACATCAGTCTTCTCAAGGCCATTAGAATCTTGACGAAAATGTAATCAGTCGTCGGCATTATGTATCTGTGAGCTAGAAAGTTAGCGACCTTGTGCCTAGCATGACCCGTTGTTTACCGTACGTGTGACGTGTCTCGGTTTAAGCATTTTCGACTGTCGCTGCTGGCCTGAATCTTGCACAGTCGCCGAACAATCGTAAATCGTATCTCTTGAATGTAATTGATTTTAATGCTGATAATATGGAACAAGGACCACATCATTAGATGAATTTTTAGGCTGCAGAGTCCTGGCATTGCTGTCATTTTTTCGTCTTTGTGGCGATACATCGAGACATCAGAACATTTTCTAGCAAATTTAATTAATATTTTTCCCAAACTTGAAATTTATGTATAGAGAACATCAACATATGGAATGTTATGTTATCTGTTAAAAAAGCATTGTTAGACTTCTCAGAAAGCTTATTTGAAACTTTCCATTTTCATTTTAACTCTGTTAGACCAATGAAAATAATTTTTTTTAAGACTTAGAGAGTTTTATTAATGTTTGTAAGTGGTGGACTTTTTGAAAAATCTTCATGTATAAGTATAAATAAATTTGTTCACGAAAAATGAGTTAACTGGTGGACAAGAGTGATAATAGAGTCATTACTCGTGATAAATAAATTAGCATTAATTAAATGTGTTCATTTATGATAAGCCTTGTTTAATTTATTAAAATTTCTATGTCCATGAATAATAAAATATTGCATATCAGTGCTTGTAATTTAAATGAATTGAAATTACAAGAAGTTTGAAAACCCCCTTCATATATTATTTTCAGATAATCATATGCATAATTATAATATTCTTGGTACATTCACTAATTTACGTTGATTTGCTTTTTATATGCGTAGATTGCTGACTTCATTCATAACAATTGTGTCCGGAAAATTACACAAGATCATAAGGGAAGAATAAAACACCAATAAAATAGAGAAACCCAGCTTCAATTTTCTTTTGTCAAATTCATATAGAACGTTTAATACACACAACTTGCTGTTTACAAAATTGCCGTGTTCTTACACATCGCACGAGCAAGAAAATATGAAGTATAATAATTAATAATAATCATTATAAAAATCTATATCTTGTAACTGCAAATGCTATTTACTGCCTTGTCATAAAAGAAAAAACAGTTATCTTAGAATCTATAATCTTACAAGTAGTAAAGATCTATATGTTATAGCAACGGATCAAACAAGAAATATAGATATTTTATAAATCCATCGTTATTGAAAACTCTAATATGTATTAATTCTGTTAAACTATAAAGGCAACTTCAATATAGTAGAATATTAATTTTCAATATTCTTTTTTCAAAAACATACTGCGTGTACTAAAAAAAATAATTTGTCCATTATGCTTTGAATTTTTTACATTAAGGCCATTGGTGGTTAGTACAACCAATTTGATTCACTCTTTGACACTAATTATAGAGTGCTTATTGTTTAGCAGCGTTACATTTTCAAACGATTCTTATAATCGTCACAATGTATATTAATAAATTTATTTTTCATTCTTTGAAGCTTTGAAAATGCAAGCATCAAATAAAATTAAAAATAATGAGATACAATTTTTTTAAACACAGTATAAAGCTATTGGACTTAATATAATAATGAAGCCTTGATCATGTATCATTAACTTACAAACAAAAAGAGCTGAATTATACAGCTTAAAAAGCCTCAATTATTCAGAAACTTAAGCAGGTAGAGTCGATTAATAGAAAGTAATTTTTTCAACATTTTACATAAGGAAGCAACGCTCGTCTCCTTTAGGGTCACCCTGTAACAAATAAAATTAAACAAATTTTTAGACAAATTAATTTCAATTAGAAAATATACATAAAAAGAGAGATTAGTATATTAGACACAATTGCTAAATAATTTTATTCTACAAAGCCAAACTCTTACTTATATTAGTCAAGTTGAAAAAAATTATCAAAATTTTATATCAAGCTGACAGCTCTGATTTGATTTGCGTTTAATAGCTAATAAGTTTGTTTACACCAGAGAAAGTTTTAATGAAATTATGATCATCAAGATAAAAAGTCATGTACCTTGAATTTTAAGCTGAGTAGAAATTAATATATTGTTATGTAAAAATAAAAACAATGAATAAGAATTTACAGAGATAAATTTTTATATTGAAGAATTACATAAATAGTTAAGTCCTAAATAGTGATAAGACATAAATTATGCTTTCATTTCGACTACTGTGACTTACGGTATTTAACATCATCAGAGCTGTAATTTACTGGCGCCTAAATGGGTTGAAGAAGAATGATCTTCTCTATATAAAACAAAATTAATCATTGTTCCAAATGTTAAAATTACAATGGGTATTTAAAAATGATTAATAGTTTTACAATCCAACTGGTTAATATCAAAAACTAAAAAAATCAATATAAGAACTAAAATTTACCTGTTGATGATGAAGTTCTTCTGGTATTCTCAGAAAGCTTTCTCTTTGTCTTGATTGTGCAGTAGACAATTGTTGCTTCTTACGTTCTGATAAGGCCATTTCCTTTAAATAAAATTTGATGTTATATTTTACGATTCCGTAAGAAAACATTTTGTTCGTGTTTACAAGATTTTTTTTTACCTCGCCTTCATTGTTAAGAAGAACGGTCGTCATGTTATCAGCAACAAACCATTTTTGTCCCTTCATCACGATGTTCGCTGGGGGCTCATGATTGGCCCCAATATCAGACGACCAAACACAAACTGTGGCGGAAGGTTCGATTTTCACGGTTCTATGAAACTTATATACTGTCTCTAGATCCTCAACTTTACGGATCAATTGCCAGCCACTCAAGCTAATTTCCTAAAATTTTATATTTTAGCCGTGGTTACATTATAGTAATTTTATTTTCAATGTCGTAATAATTCCATAAATTAATCAAGCAATATGTTAAAGGTTTATGACATTAGGTAGCAGTGCATTGTTTCACTTAAAATTAATATAGCATAGCAAGATTCGGTAATGACGGGTATGAAATAACTACAGCATTAAAAAATACATTTTCGATAAAAAAATATTGAAAAATTTTAATGAATAAAAATCCAGTGAAAAATCATGTGATACACATGTACAAGCAGTGCAAATAAGTCATATTTATTTCAACAAATAAAAAAGCTTGTTATTAATCGTGCGTTTAAGCAAAAGCAGTTTTAGTTAGAAAAGAAGTTGAAGATTCCACGAACCTTGGTACCCTTGTTTGTTAGTTTTACATAACGACCCTCAGGTTCAGCTTCGCTAATTTCAACATCTCCGCGAGCCGAGCTCTGAACACTGAAATCATTTGTAGTGTGTTCTTCTGATTCTTCAAGCAAGGTTCGCTTCCTCTTACCACCGCGGACAGGCGTCTGACGCGATGGAGTCGCACGAGTTGACACATTGGGAGATGGCATCGGAGTAATCTTTAACCTGTATCAATAACATTATTAATTTTTCAATGAATCAAAACTGCACTACATGGAGGAAAGAATAATTCACGCCACACACCTGGCCTCCTCAGATTCTAATAGTTTGCGGTAAGCAGCAATTTCAAGGTCCAAAGCCACCCTGATGTCCATAAGTTCTTGATATTCTTGTAACTGGCTGGCCATATCATTTCGCATTCTGTCCAATTCTGCTTCCAATTGAGCCATATTTTCGACATACTGGGCACGCTCATTTTCATGACCGTTTTCCAACTCTCTGTAGAAATTATGTTATTTATTAATAATCAAAGTGGACTTGAAAAAATAAAGGATTTGTTCGTGATGAGTCTTACCTAATGCGTTGATTAAGAGCATTATTAGCCGTTTCCAGTTCGGTAATACGTTGGTTCATACCGTCGATACGCAAGCGAGCATTTTTAAGTTCTTCAAGAGCTTGAGCTGCATTGCCGCTGTTACGTTGAGCATAGGTACTAAGATTCTTAATTTTGTTCTCATAGAGCATTTCGATTTCATCCCGATTTGCACGCATCTGAGCCTCATACTGCTCTCTTAATTCTTGAAGTGACTGCTGAAGCTTGTCTTCATATTCAGCAGCAAGACGTCCGTCGATCTCTGAAATTTCGACCTACGAAAAAGCAAGCATTGTTAGTTTAAAAATTCATTTGCCACATACATCATGAGCTTGTTTGGCCAAGACACTCACCTGGCGACGACTACGAGTCTCCGAGAGCTCCTGTTGGAATACTTGATCCTTGAAGCTGATATCTTCCTTAAGACTCTGAATGTGATTTTCCAAATCGATACGTTGCAGAGTTTCTTCTTCGAGATGTCTGCGCGTCTCGTCGAGTACCGCCGTCAGCCGTTCGACTTCCTTTTCGAGTTCACGCTCCCGTTCGGCGAGCTTCTTGCGTTCAGCTTGCGACTGATTGTACTGAGTTTGCAAATCAGTGCAGCGAGTCTCGTACATTTGCAAGTTCCTTTCGGCAACCTGCAGATCCTTCGTCCTCTTTTCAAGCCTAAAAATAAGTAGTTAATTAATTAATATGATTTCATTTAACGCAATTCACTCATATTTGTAATATTTCATAGAGTATTTTAGATTTACATCGATGCAAAACCCTAAACCTCAATGTTCGCTCATTGAAAAGGGAGCCCGATCGACTGCACTCGGTCATTTCCTGTGTGTGAGTAATGCTCACCATGTAGCTGCGGGTGTTTACTGCGAGTGGGTGCGGCCAAGTATTAAATGGAAAATACATATAAGGGGGCTAGTCTTCGTTGCACGTAAATTTCTTACGATAAACTAATTTAAATTCCAAATGAAAATATAGTGCGAAATTCACACTCATAGATCTTTATCGCGGATTATATTATAAAACAGTTCATCGCGCGAGTTTACGAATTATGATTTATTTTTGCCCGACGACATTTCACAGGCGACGACCCACATGGAGAATTCTCCGCGTGCACATGCATACGCGTACTGCATTCGTATCTCCCTCGAAGATTTCGCTCCGTAAGCAACTGTGCATGGGCCATAAGTTCTCCGTTTACTTTTGCCTTTCTCATTGCTTATCGTAATTATAATTTTGAATTTAAAGTAAATAATAAATCTTTGAGTGAAGGAACTTTTTTTGCTAGTGTAACGTTTAAGAATAAATTAAGATGATGCCGATAAGTTACGAAAGCAAAACTAAGTACAATGACGAGAAACCTTTTTCATCGACTCGTAAGATCATCCAAGTGGGAGAGTTTAAACAAAGCGTGTTGGGAATCTGCCCGCCGCAGGCGCTGCGTTTTACAGCCACTCATGTTCTTCCGGACTTGCGAGCGTGAGGAGAGTGCAATTTGACTCTCCCTTTTACTTTTCGTTAACGCACGAGCCTGAAGTGCAGTACCCATAGCCCGACTAGTATCAAAAAATACTGATATCCATATGCATTAGGTAGCCAGATACTCTTGAATTATGAAAAAAGTCGTGTTTATGCAGGAAAAAATACAGACAACACTTAAAACTCCTTGTTTCGCAAATTTCATGCAAAACCTATAGAACATCGCGATGACGCATCATGGTCGGCGAAGCTCGATTGATGTGGTAATTTGCTTAGATACGAAAAAACGATAAACAGAAGGCGCACGAGTGGCCTAGAGAGACGAGTCTCGATTCTCGAGAGGAAAAGCATGCGGTGCGCGGGAATTAAAATATCGTCTGACTTCATTTACGAGTGCGTACTGCGTACACAATATTTACGTTTGCGCGTGTACTCGTGCGCGAGCACGAGTGTAAAAGGTTGTACTTGTTAGCGCCGTTACAACGCTCGACTGTTAGTAGTTTCTAGTTTAGACATTTTTTCGATTCTCGGTAAACAGCTCAGACAGTTTGTTTTTTCGAACGTGACGATATGTCAACGCGCTGATAGACGCGGAGTCTCGAATGCACTCGAAAATCGCCGAAAAACATTAATTCGTTCTCGTGTAGCGGATTTAGAGCAATCGTAGATGAGCGACGTTTACCGCTGACGTCAGTTCGGGTTGCTCGAGCAGTATTTATTATCCCATTCAGCCAAAATGTGCAATGTAAACACCGGCACAATCTTCGAAGAAAGACCATTGACATTGGGTTAGCGTTCCGTCCACGGTCAGCGCCTAGTGTCATCCTCTCGTTATGTTACGGTCCACAGCAGATTGTCTCATGTTTTTTCAAGTGAAAGGAAGGAAAAAAACACGCCTTAAAATAGTTCTAAGCCGCGATCGTGTCTGTATACGGGAGATTTTGGCGGGAAACGGACTCGGACATCCCGCAGTTATATATTTATCCGTAGATATTGCTTTGATATACAGCTATACGCGTCACGTAAATATCGCGCAGCGCGATATCTTGGCGCAATATACGAAATTCCGCGCGCGCTGATATTCTTTTTTTCGCGCACGTGTTATACGGCTAAAATTTTATCAATGTCGACGATCGTATACTACGGCTAGAGTCAATGTTTTTAGGTCAGTCTTGCTTTACACGCCACCCACCCTGACATCATCGTCGTTGAGGCTTTCTATAGGCGGACCGTGACGTAACCACAAGCTGTACTATACATCATGCGGCGCGTATACACATACACGTATCTTCAACTTATACGGACACATACACAAGCTTTATGAACTATATAGTATTTCTTGCAGGCCGAATTTTTTTCTCGTCATTGAGCATAATATATTTTACAATATCACGAGAAGCCATACGAATTCCGTAAATTTCGAAATGATGAATTAAAATATGCATGGAAGTTGCCTAACGCTTGGTGTGCCGGTATATTTTGCCTATATGTTTGTTCACATTTTACGTGCACGAGAAAATTAATCGATCATATCATTCATTTACAAGTAATATTCTAGAACTTATGGATTTGTATTTCTGTAAAAACTGACTATTTTCAATGTGATAAACAACACTAATAAGTGAATTAGATAATGACATCCCAAAATATAAAAACAATATTACAATCTTGATTTAATTCATTAAGAAAGAAGCAATAAACTATGAATTTTATAATCCTTCAAATATTTTTGTTTGTTCAAGTTCATTTTCTGAGCTAAATATATTTTCAATATAAAAAATTTAAATAAAATAAGAGTAAAACTAAGATGTAACTTCAGCACATTTCTAACAGAAAATAAACAAAAAAGAGTTTCAACATTGTGCAATCACTGTTTGGAATAATGTGGCTACATCATTTTAGTTGTAAACTACATGTTATTGTATTTATAAAAACTATGCTACAAAAAAATATACTTCATGATTTCAATAGTGTCATAGAGTTCTTACAAAATATTTGAATAGTAATGAAATGTTTGATAATTACATCTTGGCTTTGAGACTCATAAATGCTTATCTGTAAGGTATTTGCAAAATTCATTTTAGCGTGCAAACTTGGAACATGAGTCATGACCGAGGGGACATACAGAATTGCATTTATGACACAAGGAATATAATCAAGTGCAGTTTAACACCTGCTTGGTAACCAGCTACTAAGACAAAAACAACTCGTATATCAATAACTTACTTATTTTTGAGGTCTTCATTGTCATCCCAAAGCCTCTTGGTATCAATTTCGAGTCTAGCCCTCTCTCGAGCGGTCTCGTCGAGTAGTTTTCTGGCATCCTCAAGCTCATGCACATACATGGACTTGATTTTGTTAACTTCTATGTGATTCTTGTCCTCTCGGCTCTGAATCTCGCGGGTGAGCATAGAGTTTTCGGTTTCGAGGTGGCGCACCTTGTCAATGTAGCATGCCAATCTGTCGTTGAGATTTCGCAAATCATGCTTTTCCTGAAGCCTTGAGTAGCGCGTTGGGCTCAAGGGCGAGCCGGGCCTGGCACGCGACGCCGATTGCGCTCCACCCGGACCGCTGTTGATGGGAGTCGACGTGGAGGGCTGCTGCTGCTGCTGCGGCGTGGCCGCCTTCTTTGCCGTTTTCGTTGACATGATTGTAACGAACTGACCACTGTTGGAGCAGCACAACGGTCGAAACGCCGAGTGAGAGAGAGAGCGAAAACGAGACAAAGAGAGAAAGGTTATAAGATTATTATGCCGGCTGTGGGCAGGACAATGAAATGTTCGTTCACTGTTCTATAAATACAACAGGTCTACGACGTTCTCTGGACGATATTGTCGACAACAAACACCAGAGACTAATAAATGTTATGTTATTTACCCACTAGACGGTGACTTTTTGTCGTTTGTTATATATTATTAACGTGAAACACTCGCACACGCGCGTTCAGTAATCAGCGCAGGCAGGCACTCTAAGGTAGTAGTGTAACACAAACGCGAAGAAGCGACGCCGACTGAGAAATCGTTCCGCGCACGCCCAGGAGGATAAAATGCCGGTCGACTCTTGTACTGCCGTTGCTGCGGCGCGCATGAAAGTCTTCTATTTGGTATTTCGGGGAGCGGCGCGGCGCGCTGGAGGAGAGGAGAGAGAGAGAGAGAGAGAGAGAGAGCCACTGGCCGCGACTCAAGCGCTGCGCCCCGGATAAAGGTGAAAGCTCGAGACGACGAGTGTCGCAAAATTTTTGCTCTGATGTACCAACGGAGTCGGAGACTGCAAAATTAATTCCATCTTGTAAACGCGTGTTTTGCGCTAGAAATCGGCTCGCGACGGCGCGACGTTTAAATGTAGAAAGCTGCATAATTTCACGCGATAATTAATCCATCAATTTTGGTACTTTTTCTACATTAATTAAACTTCGTTACATGTGTTTCATAATGCGTGTACAAGACGTTAAAGTCAAAAAATTGTTTTCGTTTTTGATTAAGCTTAACCCGCTTACCAATTACTAAGACGAAGAAATATCAATTATGGGGGGGGGGGGGANGGGGGGGGGGGGGAACTAATTATGTTTACTCGAGCTGTCAAAACATGTTGTAGGCCGCAAAGTTTCGGCTCTATTGCGGTTACAATGGAAAATAATCTTGTGACACTTTTATGGAACTAATTACTTAGTAATATTGGCTGTTTCATCCATCAAATCACAACTGATTTGACTTTTTATTCGAGAAAAAATATAATGGATTTGAGGGATTGTGATAAGCGTGGTGTGAAAATTGGGTTTAATGAGTCATTGATCATCGATCAAATAATAATTATTCATATGACATTTTTTCTGTTGACATCCTTTAATTCGTGGAAACGTTATCAAAATCAATAATGTCTATAGTAGACAAAAGTTTGTTTGGTAACAAAAGGTATGATATCACTGCATAAGCATGATATTATAATAAACTAGCAATTTATATTGCAAAGTACGATTAACTTTTTCTAGATCTCTCTCAAACATTCCATTAAACTTGAATACACCATTATAAGAATAAACCCATCACAACGCTGATAAACTATCACTTTTTTGTCCCTAGCTATATTACAATCCCGAGCGTAACGTCAAAATACAATGTTGCAAAACGACGACAAAATATTTTTATCTGATAAAAAAGCCCAAAAATTTCGCAATCAACTTGAAATAACCTATATTAAATCTAATAATTCAGAAGTTTTTGAAAGACCATCGTGTACTCCTTGACGCGATCGACCAAGCCTAATACAAGATCTCTATCGCCGGGAGTAAACGTAAACAAGTTTCGTTTATTTACAAAAAAATGGCCGAAGTAATCCTCCTCCCTCGAGTCCGCGGGCAGTGGAAAGCTGACGCTCGTCCGCACGAAAATCTCAATCTGCTCGAGCGTGTCCGGAGTGATTCGCTGGAAGGATATAGGATTCCCGTAACCTGTTATGCGCAGTATATTTTTCACGTACGTGGGAATCTGCAGGTCGTAAGCTCGCTCCAGAGTCGACCAGAAAGTCGAGCTCGAATTGCTTCTTGGATGATCGAATACATTATTCGTTAGCACGTCGAGCGAAGTCATTTTTTTCCTAGGATGCAAAAGCACAATGGATAAGATTGCAATCGAGTTTCATATAGTTACAATTGATTTGATTTTTATCGATAATCTGATAACGCTAATTTGTATGATTGTAAATATTAGAAAGATATCGAAAATCGACTTTAATGAAACGTTTAGAAAATAATGTGAGAAGTATCAGTCGCGTTAAAAATACACCGTCATCGATTGAACAAATAAATAAATAAACAATGAGTACATTTGAAAATAGCAAGTCAATTAATTTTAAGCTTACAGTCTTTGGAAACAAAGTTTCTCTTCACAGCCACACTCGACACCTTATCACATAGAACTTCACTTCGGTACTGGCGAGTGCCGCCGATTGTAGATCCCGGCAGCGACACAAAGGCATGCATTATACAGTTACGATACAACGTCCATTACAATGTCTATTCGGCTGCCTGGCATGGACGAGCGAAGACAAAAATAAAGTGTGCGAAGTCACGTATGAGCTGCCAGTGTATATATGTTATATATACTTGTACACTTATAATAAAACGAAGCCCGTAAAGGTTTTGTGTTACAGCGATACAGTGCGAGTCAAAAATACCAACTTCAGCAGTTCTAGCATTTTTGCAGCTCCTACATATCTGAGTTATTCGGCAGTGGTATGCGCGATTTTTGGAAAACTCGAGCTGCTATTCGCCGAGCAGAAGGTTAAGCTCTTTCGTCTCGATGGGGTAACAGCAGGCTTTATCATGTATAAACGAGCAATATACATATCAATTATTATTTTATCATTGACAATTTACAGATAAGATAGACTTTATAATTATATCGTATAATTGTTTTTTAATGGCAAGTGCGAAAAAAGATGTTGAGAGCAAATAAAATTCTATTGTTCATCAACGAGACTGTGGAGATGCTGCTGATATGAAAAATAATAATTTTTATCGGTCAAGATCAATTTTTTTCATTCATCGTACGCGTATTAAAATAATTATTTAATATTTCGAGTCGCCTTAATGTGATACTTCTTCAAAACTATGACATAGAGCCAAGCAGTGCATAAGTGCATAGTATAACTGCATAGTTACGACTATATTGTAATAATACAGCTGTCCATTAAAAATTAATTTTTCATTCTCTGAGTTATGTACAAAACCAATAATTTTGTGGTTAAATAATGATCACATGCACGATGTATATTGTACAGCCATGATTTATTTTTAGGATATTTAATGTGACTATATCAAGAACATAAGTGTATGCTTTATTTTTATCGATGTACTCGAACTTTCAATACTGAATCTTTTAACATATGGCATTTTAATGACTTGAAATTAACATGATATCGATTTCCAACTATTCGCGGTATAAATAATCATTTATTATGATCACTTTTACAGAATATTTGTTATCATATCTATCATTACTATTCATCTGAAATTAGTGGAATTAACACTTTTAAAATCGCTTAATTTACAATGCTACAATTTTTTATTCTTTTAAACAATTTAATATCTCTAGATGCAATGTTTTATTCCGGAGCTTAACTAAAGTAAGACGGTACAATTTCTCGGAATGTTTCGAGTAAGTTTTGAGCTCTTATTTCTCTTTCATGCACAATTAAAAGCAGCAAGTCGTCTGGATTGAAAATCAACCGCGCTTTCATACTAATGAAAAATGAATAATAGGCAACGTTTTTTGAAAAGAGAAGAGACTTTTTTTTCGACAAAGCTTTTATCTTAAAATGAAAATGAATTCATACAGAAAATAAATAAATTGAGTTGACGACATTTCATATTTTTAATCTTGGAAAATTATTTTGAAACATAATAATTTTTTATCCTCTAACTCTCAACACTCTCGCAAAATTATTTTGCTGCGCACATCGAATTCATTTTCCACGACAATTTCGGACAACACAATTTACTTCTATTTATTGTATGTTATCTAGATTACAATTTTTTGACACTTAAAATTAAGATTAGTTTTCGTCGTTTGTAATGCTTAATCTGCAAATAGATAACTCTATTACAATTTCGAGACTTTATTAACAGCTTTTTTAATAACCTTTTTACAGTATAGTAGCAAAATTAAATTTAAAGTAATCCTTATTTCTTTCACACGATTGTTTTTCACTTTTCATCCTTATGAAAGCCATGAAAAGCTTGACGACATAAACCAAAATGTAGATCTCTTCGTTGAGTTTGGAACAAAATCAGCTTTCACAATGATCTCAGAATCATATACATCTGTAAAATCACTGTGAAAACCAGTTTCGTCTAATGTAGACTCGGATGAATTTATTGGTGTCAGGATAGTTGCTGCTGCATCGTTGCTTTGCCAGAGTTAATCCTTGACAAATTGCAATAACAACTGCTGGTCTTTTACCTGAAAAATTAATGAAAATTTCATTAAATCAATTCTTTCGAACTGTCAATTTGGAATTTAACAAAATTGTGTGTATACGACCTGTATGATAAATATACCCGCATGATGAATCTGCATGAATGGAATTTTCGAAAATCGAAAAATAAATGATTTTCGAAGAGTTGTCGACTTTGAAGCTCAATTGATTGTGCAGAATTTTTATCAGCTTGAGACGAATCTTTCAGAGATGAAACACATCTGAAAAGAAAAGAGAAGTATGTAAATTCCAAACTTCTTAAACACATATTTTGATGAATTTGGAATAGTAGGGAATGTTTTGTTGGAAAAATAAAGCTCATCAAATATGAGAATCGTCTTTCAAATAATCCTCATCGAAGAAAAAAGAATAAAGTATCATTTCGCGATTCCGATTCGAAGTCACACTTATATCAGCTTTGAGCATCGAGTGTTCGACTCTCGTATAAGTCATAACGTAACAGGTTTTGAATTATCAAGCTCAAATGCACTTACAAACGCGATGTTCGGTAATATAGTCGATCCGTCTGTTTTTATTATTTCTTCGCGCTCTCTTGTATGCTATATGTGTATATTATACGGAGCCAAGCGATGTAAAACTCGCTCGCGCGCACGCATAATATAAAAATGATGTCGATGTAAAAATAGTCGTGGCCGTTTTGCACGTAAATGTATAACACAACGTACGTACTCTTAATTATTTCTAATCGAGTACGCTTACACAGCCGTCGTCGTCGTCGCCGTCGTCTTTTCGCGCAGAATATATTATAAAACACGAACACCGAGTCATTTCGAGCGTTTAGTCGGCGACTATTTTCAGCTCGTTCGCGTAATGTGGACAATTGAACGGCGTGCCTTATATACACATATAAATATAATAGACGCGGCTTGTACGATAGATAATCCCTTGCGAGGGCAAGCTCGCGTACGCAGACACATACATACAGAGGCGAACAAAATGAGGATTCGCGGTTTATACTACATATATAATATAGATGCTTGTTGCGGTTTGAAGAGACGAGATGCGACACAACGACCGCTGCGGCTGATGCTGCTGCTGCGCTCCGTTGAATAGCGTCGTTGAGGAAAAGTCCGACGAAAATTCTTATAATAATTGCTACACATCATCTTGCGAGCTTCTGCATTGTATTTATAAATATTAACCACAGCTGCAAAAGGGCCTTGTAACTTTCGAAATATCAAGACGATTACAAAAAGAAAGTTAATTAAGATATTTAAATGCTCGCAAAATGTGTACGTGTAAAATTGCGCCCCTGTCAAATTTTGCCTGGATGCGCATCTTATAATTCGTTGATACATATAAGAGCGTCGAACGAAACTCAAAAAGATAATGAAATTCAGAGGAGCATATATATAATAAGACAAAAAGTGAGGAAGAGGAAATGTCTTTGATTTGGAGAACGGCGAGCGAAAAAGTAGAAGCTCTTTGAGCTCATATGACGATTAAAGCAAAGACGAATAAGAATGAGAGAGAGCCTGACTAAGAGAGAGAGAGAGAGAGAAAGATAAATAGAAGGCTACCTATACAAGGACCAGTGGGAATGGAATGCGGGTATAAGTCCAATCCCTTCTTTATCTTACATATACTCTTCTTCTGTGCTTCTCGTTCGCGCACCTCGCGAGAGAAAGAGAGCTTGAAGCAAGACTCAACAGTCTAGCAAAAAGAAGAAAAAGCAGCGGCAGCCTCCTCAGAATGTACCGACTCGGATGTATATTATATATAAGCATACTGTACTCGTGTGCGCACCAGTACTAAATTTCAACCCTACGTAAGTTTATGTTTAAATTGGCAATATTATATAGGTAATATTTCGTAAAAATCGATTCTCGCGAATCGGTGAAAAACAAAATTCTTTGCTCATTTGGCAGACGGCACCCCTAGAGGTTCCATCATTCATTCGATGCAAGTATCGCATAGAGAGCATATTATATAGAAGCAGTAACTCGCGGCAATAGCAGTGCAATGACAGCAACGAACAAAAAAAATGTATCAATTAAAAGCACACATATCGGAACCTCTATAAGCTCTAGACCATACAGGTCCAGTTACGCTTAGCAGTGCCCGGAATGCGGTCGTCACGCAACTTGTGCACTAGCACACTCGTACACCGCTTCAGGCTCGATTGACTATTCTTCCAAGGATGTATTTAACATTTTTTCATTTCACAGTTTCAAATGAATATACCGATGATTTCCTGCTATTGAATTGGCAAGTTGTCTCTAAAATCATTCTAGCCGAAATACTTCAATCAAATTACCCGTATATTGCTCATTACGTTATCAATTCAATATTCGGTGATTTAATCGTACTGCCAAGTGTTCTGACTTTTCTTCTTAATTCATATGCCAGCGCACAAGCTTAACCCGTTAACGCCGAGACGGACAGAATTTTTTTCTCAATTGTAGTCTGCAATTAAATCATCTTATCGAAGCGAGAAAAATTTTTGAGTACTCATTTTTTATGTAAAATTTAATGTACTTTTTGAATATGGGTTTATAATCAACTTCTGATAAATATTAAAAAAGTTATAAACAATTTACTGCGAAAAAACACGATTTCGAATCTTAAAAAAAAAACTTTGATTCAAATTTTTTTTATGAAAGAGGCTTGAACTGTGGCCAATAATACCTAAAATTGTGGAATAATGACCTACAGTTTAAAGTACTGTAGGTGGGATTTGAATATTCAAAATGGTAGACTCCAGAAAATACTTTACTTTTTTGTTCGAAAACGATCAACATTAGAAAAAAAAGTTATTGGATATTCAAATCCCACCTACGGTGCATTAAACTTTAGGTTATTATTCCACAATTGTCATTATTGGCCCCAGTTCAAGTCTCTTCATAAAAAAAATTTGAATCAAAGTTTTTTTTTAAGATTCAAAATCGTGTTTTTTCGCAGTAAATTGTTTATAACTTTTTTAATATTT